GGAGGAAGACAGGATAAACTGCCGACGGTCTGGACTCATGGCTGTGGTGAGGATGGAAAGAAGCTGCAGGCCCCTGAGGCTCAGAAGTGACAGTTTGCATTTCAGTCCCCAGGTACTGGCTTCCGCATTCTGTGAAGACCACACTATCAGTTACCACTGCTACTGCGCAAGCAAAGAAGCCCTGGCCACGGATAATAGAGGGTCAGAGTCGCGGCTGAAGCTGCCAGAGCAAATGGTAAGGAGGCAGATCAGGTTAGAGCCTAAAAGAGGAGGGAGGCGTGGCTTATGGGGGGATCAAAGAGGGGCAGTGACAGAGGGAAGAGGAGATGAATGGATGGAACACGTAGTCTCAAGTTACCCCTTGATTTGGCCTCCAAACTTCCAAAATGACAAGAGTGCACTGTTTGGATGGATATGGTGTGCACCAAGGAGGCCTCAGCGGCCAGAGTCCCTTCCATGAGCTAGATCCCAAGCCTTGAATTCAGGGACCTGAGAAGCACTTCCCACTGTGAGAGCAGACAGCCAAGTGAGCCACTCCTGGACTGCTCCAGAAGTCCACAAGGCAGTCTGGGGCTTCTCAGGCTCTCACAAGAGCCTGTGCCAGGGATGGCATTCCCTGAGAACTAGATTTCATCAGAGCATTCAAAACCCACAGATCTTTAACATCAAACAGCACAAATGTCATCTCTCCCTATTGAGCGCATCAAGGCACCCCCCACACAGGAAAGTGCACAGGAGTTACTTCAAAATGTGCTCAGCCTTGTCATACAAAAGCAACCCACCCAAGCTGAGTCTGCATATAACCCCGTGACTTCCACCCGAGCCTGCTGGCCTGTCCGGCATCACCAATATCACCATGCTAAACATTCTGCTGTAGGACGTCAATTCTGTTCCATTTAACAGAACTGAACCAGAGGACGTTCAAAGGAGCTGACATTTTCTGGCTCATGAAGCTTTGGGGGAAGATGAAATTATTAGCAGCAGTCCTGGTGTGCAGGCGGCCCTGGAGGAGAGAAGCACCGTCCACCTGAACGTCATTTTCTTGGACAAGACAGGTGGAAGCCAGCTGACAGCAGGTGCACAGGCCGAAGTCCCCAAGTCGAATAAAACTGACGTGAAACTGAAAAAATGTTTTGAATGTACAATGAGCACAAACCCAACGAGCAGACCTATCAGCAGAGCCACAGGAGATACCCAAAGATAGATTGCGCTGACATCTGATTATTGATTTTTCCTAAAAGAAAGATCCACTTCATGCTGAAGGTGGTGGGGAAAAAAAGCTTAACAGAAAAGACAAGTCCAACACTGAAGTGGCCCGAACAAAACAAGCCATTGCATCTTCATACATTAAAATGCATACTTACGTGCACGCCATGCGGAGAGGACTTTCTGCCAGAATCCCGCCTTCTCACTTCAGAAGCATGAAAAAGACCTTAGCGGGCGGTGTCTGCTTCTCTCATGAAGTTAGGTCCTGAGACAAAAGAAAATCACCAAGTTCCTGCTCATATCTGAGGTGCCTAATTTTATTTAGCCATCACCAAAATCCCATCACAAAGCACAAAATCATTTACCCTTGTAATTTCTTGGCTTCAAGAGAGGCAGCTGGCATTGCTTTGCAGGCGAGGTAGAGAAGGACAGTAGAGGCATTTGCTTTCTCATTTCCTGCTGGTTGAAGAATGTGCCACTCTACAGAAAGCTACAGAGAACTAAAAGTGGCTACAGATTGTTTTGATCTCCTTCCTTTCCACAGGTAGGCTCAAGGATATGCCCCTTTAATCCTGGGCGGGCCCTGTTTCCATGCTGGGCCAGTTTCAATAGCAGGTTCTCACTGTCTCTTTCAACAGTCATCCTGGGGGAAGATGGACAGATCCCATGTAAGTAGCTCAACTTCCTGAGGTTGCCAAGCTTTGAGAAAACCCAAGCTTGGAGAGGCTCCTTGGACAGAGGTGCCTGGCCTGCCCCCTGCTGCCACAGTAGCCTGCCATGGCCGGGGCCTCCTGGACATCCATGCCAGGGACGCACCATCTGCCAGCTGATGCAAGCCCAGGGGAAAACCCGAGTGACAATTATCAGCTGAGCAGTCAACGCAGTGAATCATGAGAGGTAATAATAAAAAATTGTGGGGTCTCCCTAGTGGCACAAGGGGTTAAGTCTCAGCAATATGAAGCTATCCGCAGCCACTACAGCATGAGTTTGATCCCCGGCCAGGGAGCTAAACCACATAGCACAGCCTCCTGTCTCACCTGCTGCTCCCCTCAGCAGTGTATTTCAGTGGATCTGCCTGTTTTGCTCCCCACTCTGTCTCTGATGAATCCTCTCACCCCCCACACCTCTGGCCTGTACCCCAGCTCTTGTGCGCATAAGTAAATAAATTTAAAAAAAATAATAAGTTGTTCTAAGGCACTTAGTTTGGGAAGGTTGGTTTCAATAACAGATACAAGAATAGCATTTGCCAAAATGAGAATTAGTTATATTTAAATAATATTTTAAACTCAGTTTCTCAGTCGCACTAGCACATTTCCAATGCTCAAAAGCCACAAGCAGCTCCTGGCTTGCATATTGCAGAAAGCAGCTTGCAAAACATTTCCTTTATCACAGACGTTCTATAAGATGCACTATTACAGAGCAATTCAGAGTTCTGGCCATACTTCTCTGCAGGACAGAGCCACGAGGGAACATTTGGCAATGCATTCTGTCTACCTGCCTATAAAATTATTTCAAAGCATAGTTTTAAGATCTACATCTACCTGAACAGAGGAAGTAAATAAAAAGCTGGGTTCACATTAAAACGAGGTAGGGAAAACTTGTCTAGGTTTAATTTTCTTATTTATGAATTTTAGAAAAAAGCAAACTGGCTTGTTAATCACATCTAGCGAGCAGTGATGGGTCTAGTTTTGTCACCAAATCAGGGAGAAATTCTCAGGAGAACAAAATCATCTGAAGCTCAGCCTTGCAAAGTCGAGGCCAGCATGCTGCTGTAATTGAGCAGGACATTATGCAGAATACATAAAGGCTTTTGCCTGACAGAGAATTATTAAGATAAACCAACTGGAAAGGAACAGGGATCTGGTACCTTGGCATGGTTCCATAAAAAATGTTGCTTTTCATTATGAGATTCCCTTTGTTCCTTGTGGAAAATTCTGACTCCACACCGATGGATATGTGCATGTCTACATGGAGCGCTCTAGACAGGGACTAACAGGCATGCAAACCAATGAAGCAGCTATCTGGACAGGTGTCTTGGATAAAGGATACATTAAGATGTCTTTGCTCTCTGGGGCAATTTGATTTTTTTTAAGTGAAGATCAAGGTATACAATTACAAAAGTGATGACTTTCTAATGACACTTAGGATGAGAACAAAGTCAAAACTGAGGCTAAGGCGAAGATTCAAGACCAAGAGAAATACGACATATGGGGCTTCTCATTTTATCTTGTGTGGGCACAAAAGGAATTTGCTGCCTGTTCCCTCATTCTGTGGTCCTCAAGAAAGCTGTTCATCCTCAGACACCAGTATGCTTTCAGGTCCAGAAGGACCTCTGTGAGGTCAAAAGCTTTCTCTTTACCTTGAGGTCTGGGGAGGAGCAAAGACAAGTGCATTTACAGATATCCCAGGACAAACATGTCATCTGCAGGACAGCTCCCAGTTCAGCAATGTGACTGCCAAAACTAAAACCAAAGCTCTGTCTTCTTCAATACAAATACCTCAACAGTCTACAATTATCTATATTTTCTGATGAGAAACCATGTCCGATTTCTGAAAATATCCTCTCTGCTATGTGGGGACAGGATGTGATGGAGACGGGAACTCCCATTCCAAGAGCCTCAGGGAAAGGCTGGTGTGCAAGTCACCGCTGTCAGCTAAACTACATGCTTAAATGCCACGGAAATCTAATGCTAAGGACCTTCCTCTCCTTGTTTCCATGCTGAGGAACAGTTCCTGCAAGAACCAAGGCCCGGCAGAGAATGGTGAGCCTTCCTGGAGGAAACGAGCTGAGTGAAACCATTTTAGTCTGGTTATAAAGACCTTTCTAGGGCTGCAGTTGAACACACAAATACCCTAGCACTAAACTCCAGTCTCTCCTCCCTGTACGCTCTCCTGCCGGCTCAGCTAGGAGAGGTGTATGTGACAGCCCAAGGAACTGCCTGCGAATTAAAAAAATAATTTTTTAAACCTTCGAGCTTAGCCAGGCATGAAAAACGACACCCCGAAAGATGACGTTTGCAGAAAGTTGCTGGCAGATGAGGACTGGAGTTACAATGGACACCACATTGCAGGCACTATTAGGTGAGTCCCTACTAACAACTGCCCTAGACGCACGTAGATGGGGCTGCACCTGCTGTGGGCTGCGCGTGTGCGTCAGGGAAGCAGACACGAGCGAGAACCCACCGCGGGGCAGGGGCTCCCTTAGTATCCGAAGGCCCTCGAGCAAGAACTCTGGCACAAACCCTGCAGCCAACAGCACCAGGCGCGCCTCGGCGGGGAGTGTCCGTCTCAGGAGCGGGGCCTCCGGACACCCCGCGAGCCCAGCGTGTGAGTGTCAACTGCAGGCGGCGGAGGCCACGGCGCGGCACCGGACCCGGCAGTCAGCACTGCCGGAAGACCCTGCGCACGGCCCCCCAATACTGCGAAGCAGGAGACAGGCCCCAAAGGGCTGACTCGGCACATAGCAGGGGTGCGGGAACCCTCCCTTCACCCGCGGAGGAGGCGAGGCCCCCCAACACCTACCAGGCCAACCCGGAAGCGGGAACCGCCCCCCACGATGGAGGCTGCGCGAGGCCGCGGCCCTGAGGCGCTTCGGGCGGGACGAGGCGACGGCGTGGCTCCCGCGACTGCGGCTGCGCGAGGCCACGCGCCTCACACGTCACCCACCCACGTGACAGATTCGGCTCACACCCGTGACGTCACCCACGCGCTCTTGCTAAGCCACGTGACAGGCCACCAACCCCACGTGACAGAACGCCGATATGTCACGTGACACTCAACAGCCGTGCCGCGAGGCCAGCTAACCCACAAGACGTGCGCGACGGGACGCAGGGAAACCACCAGGGCATGCGTGACGCAGTCGTGCCTGCGCCGGGCCCTGGGGGAGCGTGTGGTCTGCGGGGTCTTCAGCAGCCAGCGGGGCGCAGGTAGGGCTGGGCCGAGTCCCAGCAAGGGCGTGACCCTGGCTGGAGGCTTGCTGCCCGAGGAGGGGTGCAGGCTGGGGAGAGAGGCGAGCAGGCAGCAGGGGCTCTGGGGAAGCGCAGGGGCGCTGGGCCCCACCCCATCCCGTGTGGCCCCTGTGACCTCTGTGCCCTGGGGGTTGGCGACTGCCCTGTCCCCAGGAGCCTAGACCCGCCCCGGAGGCGGGCGGCTCAGGGACCTGGGCTGTTCGTGGCTTCTGAGGACACAGGCCCAGCGACGATTTATCTAGGTGTGGAAAGGTAAAAACCAACCTGACTGTGGGTTGGAATATTTTGTCCTCCTGCCTTCGCAGATACAGTAACAGCAAGCAAACTGAAAGGCGGTAGAAAGCTGCAATTTTTTTTTAAAAGATTTATTATTTATGCATGCAAGAGCTGGGGTGCAGTCCAGCGCTGCGTGAGAGGATGAGGGTGAGAGAATTCACCAGAGCCAGAGCGGGGAGCAGAGCAGGCAGAAGGACCGAAGTACACTGCTGAGGGGAGCAGCGGGCGGCAGGAGAGGTCTGCGCGCCATGTGGGACCCTCCTCCGGTGGCCGGGGAGCAGCCGGGGATCGAACCGGTGCCGCAGATGCTGCGGGCAGCTTCGCAGCCCAGCGCTCAACCGCTGCGCCACCGGGGAAGCCCGGCAATCACTCTTTTTACCATTATTACTACAGTTATAAAATGTGATAGAAATTGTGATTTTGAAATAATTTTCTCAGGCAACTGTATACATATTGCTGGAAATTCTTTGCTAATATCATTAAGTATCTCTGGTCCTACAAATTGAACCATGAAGAAAAGAAAATGAGCTCTCAGTACTTCTAGGATTATTATTTGTAGTAACAGTTCTCCACACAACCCCAGCAGGATGCATACCTATAGAAAAAGACCTATTATGAGGAATTGACTCACAATTATGGGGTCTAGCAAGTCCAAGTCTACAGTGTGGGTCAACCTACTAGACACCCAATGGAGTCAATGACGTTCAAAGGCAATTTTCTGGAGAATTCCTTCTTACTTACCTGAGTTTTTTATGGGTTTTTTTGGTTTTTGGTTTTTTTGGTTCTATTTATACCTTCAACTGATTGGATGAGGCCTACCTACATTAGGAAGGACTGTCTGATTACTCCAAATTTATTAATTTAAATGTTAATATCATTGAGAACACCTTCCAAATTGACACATAATATTAAGCATCACAATCTGTTATGGAATGGGTTTTTATAGATTGTTTTAAAATTAATTATGTCATTTAATTCTCATCACAACCCTGTGAAATAGGAATACTAACAAATCTGTTAATACATGAAGAAAAAGTGTTTTAGAGATTCAGTAACTTGGTGAAGGTCACACAGGTAGTAAATGGGGCACTGGATTTGATACCAGATCTGTTCGACTTCAGAGATGGTGCTTTTTTCTAATCTCCCCACAATAGGAAATGTTACCTGTTAAGGTTGCAGTCAAATAGATGTTAGCTCCTGAAACCCTTTGAGAAGTGCTGTACAGACCAGTTGCTGGTTTATAGTTCCTCCTTAGAGTTGTGTGCTTCATTTCCCCACATATCTTATTGGGGCTCGGAGTAGGTCACCCCAAAATGTACCAATGTAGCATATTTATGAATTTTAATTAGGGCTGCTTGGGAAACAGCACATGAGAAATGATACTATAAGCCTCCCTGTCTCCTAAAACCAGGAAATAAATCTCCCGTGTGAAAGCTATTCTTCTTGTACCAGGAAAGAAGGACATATCACTACACACAAATTTTGAGGCACCTATTTCTCCTGTGTAAATAAATAAACTCTGCTTAGCTCCCTAAATCTCCTAGCCAAACATTTCAAGGATTTTTTTTGCCTGAAAGGTAGTTAAACCTGCTCCGTTCACATGACAGATACCATATTAATAGGCATCTCCATGTGCATGAAATTAAATGGGTCTTTTCTCCTCTTAATCTGCCTTATGTCAACTATTTTCCAACCATAAGGACCTAGAAGGGTAGAGGAAGATTCTTCCTCCCAACAACCCGTAAGTGTGTACAGGTAATAGAATCTCAGGAAGCACTACTCCTAGTGCATAGACTAGAGTGGTCTGAGGATCAGAACAGATACAGAGAAGAAACTAACTTCATTATTAAGTGGTAACTATATGTCTGCTGTGGAAGATGACTGTTCACACAAGCCACCCCATTGATTAAGCACTCAAATACTGCAGTTTAGTCCATTAATGACTACGCAATTAGAACAATCTTGTACTTGGTTTGCAAATATCTTCTCCCATTCAGTAGGCTGTCTTTTCATTTTAATGATGGTTTCTCTCACTGTGCAGAAACTTTTTAGTTTGATGTAGTCCCATTTGTTTATATTCTCTTTTGTGTCTCTTACTATTGGAGAGAAATCCACAAAGACACCACTAAGACCAGTGTCAGAGAACTTACTGCTTATGTTTTCATCTATGTATTTTATGGTTTCAGGTCTCATATTCAAGTTTTTTATCCATTTTGAATTAATTTTAATGCATGGTGTGAGAGAGTGGTCTAGTTCATTCTTTTGCATGTGGCTCTCTGGTTTTCCTAGCACCATTTATTGAGGAGATTTAACATTTCTCCATTGTATATACTCTTGCTCCTTTGTCATAAATTAGGTGTTCATATATGTGTGGTTTTATTTCTAAACTCTATTTTTCTATCCTATTGATCTGTGTGCTGGTTTTTATTCCTGTATCATACTGTTTTGATCACTATAGGCCAGTAGTATAGTTTGAAGTCAGAGAACATGATACCTCTGTTATGTTATTTTCCCCTCAGGATTTAGCCATAAAAAAAGATGAACTCTTGCCATTTGCACAACATGGATGGACCTTGAGGGGATGATGCTAACAGAAATAAGTTAGAAGGAAAAAGACAAACATTATTTCATTCATTTGCGAAATATAAAAACAAAACAAAACAACAAGCAAACAAAACCAAACCCTTAGTCTCTGACGACTAATGGTAGTTACCAGAGGGGTTGCGAAACCTACAGTGTTGTAAACTAATATTGCCTCAGTAAAAGAAAACAGTCATGCCCCTCAGGAAATTGGCCTGGCCAACACTTGATAGTGAAACATGGTTTGGATTATCAATACCCAGCCTTCATGGAACATAGGTGTCTTTCAGCACAATTAATTTTCAGCTGACTTTTACATAGAACATAGATGCATGTTTTAAATCTCTAAAATTCATTGCATTGTTTAGGGTTCTCGAGAAATAGAACCAACAAATATGTACAGCTCTCTAAAGAGTACTGGGTCACACAATGACGGAGACTAAGAATTCCCAGGATCTACTCTCTTGCAAGCTGAAGATTCAGGAAAACTGGTGGTGTTCAGTCTCACTCTGAAGGCCTGAAAACCACTGAAGCCAATGTAAGTTCAAGTTAAGACCAAAGGCCCCAGAAGCCCTTGTCTGAGTCCGACCAGGAGGGCATGAGAGCAAGAGAAGATGGATGCCTCAGCTCCAACAGAAAATTCATCCTTCTTCTTTTTTGGCCTACTCAGGCCCTAAGCAGGTGTGGTGCTCTTTATTGTCTTCCAACGCAAAGGCTAATTTCTTCCAGGAACACAGACACACCCAGAAATTAAGTTTTACCAGCTCTCTGGAAATCTCTTAGCCCAGTCAAGTTGACACATAAAATTAACCATCACACTCATTACAATTTATTAAATAAAATGATGTATAGGAAAATTCCACAATTACAAATGCAACTGTTACAATGTCAGACTCCTCAGACTTTTTAAAAAGTGAGGCGTGCTAACAGAGGGGAAATGTCATGCCTGATTTCCTGCTAAACAACTTTGTTACTGTTTGATGATTAGAAAGCATGTTGTAAGCATTTACAATCTGTCACTTAATGTCCAAAGTAATTTGCATAATTACTGCTTTAGTTCCATTTAGGGAAATTGGTGGGGAAGAAGTTACATGCCATTTGGTATCGCATATCATTACAATCTGCCATCCCTATCTGGGGCCCCACATTCATGGGTTCAGACAACCTTGGGTTGAAAATATGCTAAATGGCTGGGTCTATACTGAGCATGTATAGGCTTTTTCTTGCCATTACTTGCCGCGGACCAGCACAGCGATGGACGATGAGGCCGTCTCAGGGTTGAGAGATTGCGCAGGGTGGTCAGGGATTCGATGAATAAATGACACACAGACACACTTCAAGAGAGTGAAAATCTGAGTGCGTCTTTATTAAGCTAGTGGTCAGTATATATATGTTTTTCTAAAAGCATAGGAACAGTGAACATCAAAGAGATCAGTTTGCTCATAGACTTAGCTTAATTGACAGGGCAGTGATTTATGTCCGAAGTTACATCTGGACCTAGCCTCATTCCTAATTGGACAGGCTATAAATTCTTTCTACTGTTTTATATAATTATTTTCTAGTTGCACTAACTATCATTTTTACTCATAATTAATTGTCATGGGTGAATTTATTTTATAATGCAGTTAATATCAAAGGTACTAAAGTTAAGCACATAATAGAAAGATTATTAAACTAACAATTCTATTATGACACAGTGTTTAGTAATGTTTCATTTGCATTAGCCTAATTATTAAATTATGTATGTTTTTTAATTAGCAATCAATGACCAGAAAAAGGAAAGATTTTAGAAAGACAGTTGTAGCAGAATAAAGTTTGTGGGCCTTGAGAAAGCGAGATAAGGTTCCAGGTGGTCAGCATTTCTTTTAATCATCTTTGTGGCCGCTTTTGATGGTCATTATTTCTTGGCAGGCATTCAGCTTTTCTGCATCTTAGGGAGTTTGCTGTTCTCCCCCTGCGCGCATGGTTCCTTGCCCACGCTGGACCTCAGGGACCATGGCAACAGCCATTAGCCCTGAGGGTCACTGCAGGGGGAGGTGCAGCAATTACTCTCTAAACCATATGGTGTAACAACTATTTACATAGTATATGTGCATCGCATC